TACAAATTTCTTGATATACACCATTTTATTCACATGCTTTATTTTCAGTGTTCAATGATGCTATTTTATGCTTTAATAATGTCAAATAGCATTTTTGTTTGCCATTCTCTCTTTCCTGATGAATATAGTGTTTGGTGCCCTTTAGAAAGCTAAGCCCCTAAAAACCAGAAAGAATCTTCATTGAGTTCATTTCTAGGAATATGTTCCTTAAACCAAATCTCATAGTCAAACTCTGGTTACATAGGGATATGATCACAATCAGAAGTAATAGAACACTTATTTGCTATGACAAATTTGCTTTTCTGGCTATTAAATATGAAAATTCCACACATGCAAATGATCCAGAATGTGCTAGATTGAGGGAAGTCAATGCTATTGAAAATTGTAGAACTACAAGGAAAATTGAAGCAGTAATCAATCCAGCTCCTATTGCACAGGTGCTCTTTCCAAGTTTATGCTCGTTGATAATAAATGATATCTTGAGGCATTTTATGTCCACTAACAGGATAACAACTATGCCTTTTGTATTATTTGAACTACATAGAAAAAATTAATCTAAAAATACTATGACAGTACTTAGTTTTAAATTGATCTTCATAGTTACTTTCACCAGTATTTTTAAACCATATTATAATTTACTTTGAAAAAGCATTTTATTTTTTCAAGGATTATTTTAGTATTTTTAAGAGTTTGTGCACCCGTGTGTGTGTGTGTGTGTGTGTGTGTGTGTGCGTGCATGCATATAATTTATGTGTGTGGTCATATATAAGTCCAGGTGCCAGTAGAAGTCAATGGCATCAGATCCCCTTGATCTGGAATGAATGACAGGTCAGTTGTCTGCCCCCTGACATTGCTGCTGGGAACCAAACTCTGATCCTTTGCTAGAACAATAAGTGTTCTTAACCACTGGGAAATCTCTATAGCCTTCTGACTTTTGTTCTTTAATTGATAAATAATACTGAAACATATTTCCAATACAAAACACATGTACTTCAGTTTCTTTTCAGACTCATCATTGAGACTAATTGAACACTAGAACATTCCATGCAGAAAAAGGTACCCTCTCTAAAGTTTCATTACATCTCCACTTCAAACATCTCCACTTGTTTATTTATTAAAAGACTCTTATTTTGTCTGTTGAGATTTATTTTATGTTTTTACAACTTATATAAGATAATCTCAGATATATTGGTACAGGCATTGTGTAGAACATATGCAAGACACATTACACAAAAATATATACTACAGCCAGGTGCTGGTGGCTCACGCCTTTAATCCCAGCACTCGGGAGGCAGAGGCAGGTGGATCTCTGTGAGTTCAAGGCCGGGCTGGACCGACAGCCTCCAAAACAATACAGAGAAACCCTGTCTCGTAAAACCAATGTATATATATATATATATACACTACAGTGTGTGGGCTCTGGAATATAGATAATATGCATCAATAGAAACACCTTAAAAGGACACAGAGCCAAGTAATATGAGCACAAGTGGACAGTGAGAGTAACCAGTCTTTCCTGTTTGTTCATGATGTTTAATTCATTATGTGATGATTTCATAAATTGATATAATCTATTTTGATCATATACATCCACCACTACTAGCCTTTCACCTCTCATCTTTTATCCCAACTTCATGACTTCCTTACTTCACTATCATTAATAACTCTCTGAGTTCAATCAGAAGCAGTTCCCAAAGGCATATGAGTACCCACAGTTTTAATTGCTTCTTTCCTAGGAAGGAGATTGGGAGTTGCTGGTCTTCCCATAAATTAAATCTCTAGGGATATCCCAGTCTACATAGTTTTTCTTGTTCTTCATGCATTAGCTTCTTAAATAACAACATGCTTGATGTCTTTTTTCATAAGAGTTCATCTATGCATTTGAATGGTATTCACTGTTATCTCTTTCATGGCCACCTTGTGACTGAAGATTTTCTGTCAAACTTCATGCTTGGTTAAGGAAAAACACTCAAAGGTAAAAGCTATATTAACAGACTTTTAATTGGTGTGATGTCATGTAGACTTGTTATCTTTTTCTTCAGTCACAAGGGATAAATTTTGTGAGATATGCAATGTTCTCATTTTTGATCTGTAAGAAGGCAAGTGAGTGACCCTTCTTTGAAAGAGGAAGACTTTATAGACTTTAAGAAGTAGATTCCTATTATTTCTATTTCCTCTGTTCTTCAGTGTCTCAGATAGCATGAAAATATTCAATCATTACCTAAGAAAGATCTGTGTAACCAGCATTCTGTAGGTGACTTGATGATCTCATACTCACTGTTGGAGTTATTGTTCTTTCTTTAAAAGAACTGATGGTCTTATACATTGCATAACCTTTGTCAGTGAGACTTGAAATTTATGGAAAGTGAGTTGGGCAATAACATTTACAGTGAATAATGTTAAAAGACAAAGGGATGATGGAAACAGTTTCTTTAAAAGAACTAAGTGGGTTCATGGCATGAATGCAGAAAAGTTCCATCTTATGAAATGTAGGTATTCTCTTAACACATTATGTCTATGAACCTTTCAAGAACTAAGACATACTGAATATCTGTGAATGTTGTCTATTTCATATTTATGTTACTACTGCAGAAAAAGGCATAAGAAAACACAAGAGTATCCGGGTTTTGGTGGTGCATGCCTTTAATCTCAGCATTCAGGAGGCAGAGGCAGGCAAATCTCTGTGAGTTTAAGGCCAGTCTGGTCTACAGAGCAAGTGACAGGATAGGCTCCAAAGCTACACAGAGAAGCCCTGTCTCAAAATATCAAAAGACAAAAAAAAAACCAAGAATAAGCTAATCTGTTTGAAATTTCAAAAATGCTGAGTGATTCACTAAAAAATACAAACAGTTCCCTTGCAATCACACAGAGAATCATTACATTACAAGAGTGTGGAAGTTATGAGTTCAATGCAGCTATGAGGCTTAAAAATAACTTGAATTTTTCAAAGTAAAGAAATAACTTTAGAAAAACTGGTAAATTCTTAAATGTTGAGTTTCTTCAATAATACCTCCAAAATCAATAATAATAAAAATACCTAGTTATACATTCTTGTGCAAATCTCTTATTAACTGCAGACTATAACCGGAAGTATTCCGATTTTCAGTAGATTGCTGGTGGTAAATAAGTGTTTGTCTTAGGTAGATAATCTTTCACAGGCTTCAACTCAAGGAAAAAAAACTGCCCTTTTTGCAGTCATTTTGAAAGCATGAAGCAGGATGATAGCTTCATCTTAGGAATTAGGGACCTACCTGAGTGGTAAAATAAACTTCTGTATCGAAGGAGACAAAACAAATATAGGAGTTGAAACATTGTTATTATACGACAGCCACATCATACCAAATGATTTCATAAAGTAGAAGGCACTTGTAAAAGATATGTGACAGACAGAGAGCACCATAAACTGTTAATTTTATTTTAGTATTGGTAACTTTAGTATGGTGTGACAGGATGAAGGAAAGAATAAGTTGATGGAAAATAGACATTCACTAACTGAAAATATTCTTTTCAAGGAAACTGGATCCTGGGTAATTGTAGTAATATCAACCAATGTTTTCAGAGGGAGCAGGAACACCCTGGAGAACACAGATACTCAGTGGTGCTACTGTAGGAGGAAAGACAACTTGAGGAGGAATAGTGTCCATATACATCAAATCAGCACAAACAAGATCACTCTCCTATCCAAATACAACATGAAAGCTAACAATTTCTGGATGTGATCAACATCAACATTTTGCTGTCTTTTTGTCTTCTTAAAGTAGTATCCCAAGTTGGTCTAATTACTTTGTTTACTTTTCAGTGGTCCAGGAAGTTAGTAAGGACTAATTAATCCTACACAGTGGATGGATTATGTGTGGCTGTAGCTTATGATTACTGTCTGCGTCTTTCAGAACTGCATCAAGCTTAAGTGGTTACTATCACCTGAGTTATCCCATCATATCTACTGCACACAAAGATATACAACATCTTTTATCAAGATATCTGTCATTCCATATTCATCTCCTATTCTCATTAGTAAAATACGTTAGAAATAAACTCAGAATGATGTTTGAGAATAATTTTATTAGAGTTTGAGGGTAACACAGATAAGCTTCTAAGCTAGTAGCTGCTGTCCTAGGGAGATGGAGAAAAGGGAGAGAGAAAGTCATACATTTTGAGTTATATCTATGAAATGCTCTATGTTCAGCAATGGTAGTTTTTAAGCAGCTCTATGTATTCTTAGGATACTGTCCAAAATACAGATAAAAAAGAAGGATAATTAACTTAGTGGCAAGCCAAAGTAGTTATTTTATAGGACATTTTATTCCTGACCCTTGTGCCCTAGGAAAAAAGACTGTAACAGAAATGTGTACATAGAAATAGAAACAGAACTCTGTAACTCAAACAATGCTGAGTTCTTGCCAAGGCAGCCACATAATTATGTTTAATGTTATTTTCAATTTAATTACAATTCTGACTGAATTTTGCTACTTGAAAATCAGCAAATGTTAAATAAAGTCACAGCAGACTAGCCTTTCATATTTTAGTAATATGTGTAAATTGTTCAATTTCTTGCATTCTATAATTTACAGAAAAGCAAGTTCTAATACCATTGAGAGGAATCAAAGAGTAGTCACCTAAATTGGCTGTGTAGAGCACTCCTTGAAAAGTGACCAACAGAGACAATGAGATATAAGGATGTAAGAGGTAAATTTGGAGATCATCCACACAATAGTTTTATCATTATTAAATAGTTCCCATCTATTTACTAGTATATAGAATATAATATTAAAACTCGGTAGCACTCCATTAATAATCATTAAAATCAATTATATATAACCATCTTTATAAATAAAACATCAGTTTTGATTTGGGGAAAGGTCCATTTTTCCAGACAATCTCAAAATACAGATTGTTGACCAAAAGACCTATGTACTCACTTACGCTTTTCCTTTTAGTTCAACTTCTTCATCATCATGTTCTTCTTTACCCATGGCTGTGGACCATCTCATGAGTGAAAGATGACACTGATGAAGAACAGGACAGATGTGACACACTTTCTCCTGCTGGGACTCACTGATGACCCAGGACTACAGATTCCCCTTTTCATCACCTTCCTCCTCATCTACACCATCACCCTAGTGGGAAACCTGGGGTTGATCTTCCTTATTGTTCTGGACTCTCGTCTTCATACACCTATGTACTTTTTCCTAGGAAATCTCTCCTTGGTTGATTTTTGTTATTCCTCAGCTGTCACCCCCACAGTCATGACTGGTCTTCTTATAGGAGACAGGGTCATTTCTTACAATGACTGTGCTACTCAGATGTTCTTCTTTGTAGCGTTTGCTACTGTTGAGAATTATCTCCTGGCCTCAATGGCCTATGATAGATACACAGCTGTGTGTAAGCCTCTATACTATACTACTACTATGACTACAAGTGTGTATGTGTGCCTTTCTATAGGTTCCTATTTCTGTGGCTTTCTGAATGCCTCCATCCACATTGGAGACACTTTCAGTCTTTCTTTCTGTGGGTCTCATGAGGTTCACCACTTTTTTTGTGATATTCCAGCAGTTATGGTTCTCTCTTGCTCTGACAGACATGTCAGTGAGTTGGTTCTTGTTTATGTAGTGAGCTTCAATATCTTTTTTGCTCTCTTCATTATCTGGATATCCTACATATTCATTTTTGCCACTATCCTAAAGATGAAGTCAAGTACTGGATATCGAAAGGCTGTATCCACCTGTGCCTCACACTTCACTGCAGTCTCCATTTTCTATGGGACGATTATATTCATGTACTTGCAACCTAGCTCCAGTCACTCCATGGACACTGACAAAATAGCATCTGTGTTCTACACCATGGTCATACCCATGCTGAACCCTATGGTCTACAGCCTGAGGAACAAGGAGGTCAATAGTGCATTAACAAAAGTTTTGCTGATGGTAAAATAGTTTACATTGATTTATTTTTAATGTTCTAAGATGAGCAATGCTTTTGCTTTTCTCTTTTTCTTCCCATTGGAATTAAATTTCAGGACTGATTTTGTATTTCTGTAGCTTTATTGTATAGTAAAAGAAAAATATTGTATTCATGATCATAGCTATGAGTTTTTGTGGTCTGTTTGACAATATTCCTAATGTAGGATATTAATATACTCTTTTAATGGATTATTATTTAACTGTAATCTTTTTATCAGCAAGATGTTGTTAATATTTTCAAAATCAACTAAAATCATGAATCTATATATTTTATATAAATGGATTGTGTTGAAAGAAGCTTAATATACACATTGCTATGCTGACACATGCTATGGGTTATGATATAAATACAACTAATGGCAATTAATAATTCAATTGTAGTCCACCAGGCCTCCAATGATGGATCATCAAAGTCTGTTACATCATTTGGGGTAGGGCCTAGGACCTCCCCATGTATCTAGGCTGAGAGAATATCTCTCCATAGGGAATGGGCTTCCAAAGCCCATTTATGCACTAGGTTTCCATTGCCAGAGGCTCCATAGTCTGTCCTTACCTCCCCACTGAAACCTACTTTCAGAAGGCCTGGTTTGGTCCTATGTTGGTCCCCTAGCTGTCAGACTGGGGTACGTTAGTTCCCACTTGTTCAGGTCAGCTGTTTCTATGGGCTTTCCCAGCATGGTCTTGACCCCTTAGCTCATCACTCCTCCCTCTCTACAACTGGATTCCAGTTCAGTTCACTGCTTAGTTGTGGGTTTCTGTTTCTGCTTCTATCAGCTACTAGGGGAAGGCTCTATGATGACATTTAAAGTAGCCACCAATCTCATTATTGGGGAAGGGCATTTAAGGTACCCTATCCACTATTGCTTAGATTCTTAGTTGGGGTCATCCTTGTGGATCCCTGCACATTTACCTAGTGCCAGATTTGTATTTAAACCTATAATGGCTCCCTCTATTAAGGTATCTATTTTCTTGCTCTCCTTCTTTATTCTTTCCCCAAGTTGATCTTACTGATCTCTCATGTTCTTCTTCCCTCCCTTTCTTCCCTCTTCTTTTTCTTACCTCCCTATCCCCCCCCCCGTGCTCCCAATTGACTCAGGAGATCTTAACTCTTTATCCTTCTCCATGAGATCATGTATGTCTCTTTTAGGGTCTCCCTAGCTTTGATGGGGTTGTGGATAATAAGCTGGTTATCCTTTGCACTATGGATATTATCTATATATGAGTGAGTATATACCGCTTTTGTCTTTATGTGTGTGGCTTACCTCATTCAGGATGGTTTCTTCTAGTTCCATGCATTTGCCTGAGCATTTCAAGATGTCATTGTTTTTTTTTTCCTGCTGAGTAGTCCTCCATTTTGTAAATGGGCCACATTTCCTTTATCCATTCTTCAGTTCAAGGGAATCTAGGTTGCTTTCAACTTCTAGCTATTACAAACAACAGTGCTATAAACATAGTTGAACTGATGCACTTGTGGTATGAATGTGTATACTTCGGATATATACCTAAGAGTGGAATTTCTGGATCTTGAATTAGACAGATCTTAACTCCTTCTCCATGGGACCATGTATGTCTCTTTTAGGGTCTCCCTAGCTTTGATGGGGTTGTGGATAATAAGCTGGTTATCCTTTGCACTATGGATAATATCTATATATGGGTGTGCCGAGAAGCAGCCATACTGATTTCTAAAGTGCCTGTACAAGTTTGTACTCCCACCAGCAATGGAGGAGTGTTCCTCTTTTTTAAAAGAAATTTAAATATTTTACTTTGGATTGGAATTTTGTATATTGTACACAAATACTGTATATGGATTCAATTAGAAATTAATTAGATAAAACATGCTGTATATACATTTCTAATATTGTTCAAGGTATTGTAAGTATACATCACATTTAACGAGGCATTGCAAATTTCTAGTCCTTGGAAGTTATTATCATTAGCTATATAGGATAATAAGGAAATAAAGGTTATTAAATAATCAACTATTACAATAAAACTTACAATCATACTGTTCACCAAGTCAAACAGAGATATATTTTAAAAGGACAAGTTGTCTTCAAACACTTCAGAGATCTATAAAATATGGCATTTAAAATGTTTTAATAACATAGGTTCTTTTTATGACAATGAGACACAAATCTAGTGCAGACAAGATGAAGGACATCAAAGAAACTCCACATTGAGTTTAATTTCTCTGGGACCAATGTCAGTCATTGGGGAAGAAAGTGCCCTTGCCTCAACATCTGACAGTATGCTGCCCAAATTTGACAAAAATGACACCAAAAGAGTGACTACAAACATTGCCGAGACAAGGCACAATAGTCCTTCAGATTATCTGCTTCACAGAATTTTCTGTCAGATATGCTAGGCTTATACACTGACATCGCAGAGGAATCTTGAGTGACTGCCCAGGCAGTCATTTTTCATTTTTTCTTTGAAATTACTTTTTTAAATCATTTTTTAATTTTAAATAGCTTGTTTTACATGTCAATCCCAGTTCCCTCTCCCTCCCCTCCTCCCGCACTCCCCTTCCCTCCCCAGTCTCCCACCCTATTACCAATTCCTTCCACATAGGGGATATCTAGAGTCTGTCATTTCATTCCTGGTAGGGTCCAGGCACTCCCCTAAGAGTCCAGGCTGAGAAAGCATCCCTCTTTGTGCTATGGGCACACGATGACTGTTTGTATTCCAGGGATAGACACTGATCCACTGCTCAGGGCCCCATAGGTTGCCCAGGCCTTCTCACTGACACTCACATTTCAGGGGTCCAGATCAGTCCCATGCTGGCCTCCCCGCTGTCAGTCTGGGGTCCAAGAGTTCTCCCCTGTTCAGATCAGCTGTCTCTACTGGTTTTGCCAGCCCATTCTTTGCCAATTTGCTCATCACTCCTCTCTCTCTGCCACTGGGTTCCTTGGGTTCAGTTTAGTGCTTAATTGTGTGTTTGCCTCTGCTTCCATCAGTCACTGGATGAAGGCTCCAGGATGGTTATAGACATCAAGTTCATTATCAGGAATGGGCAATCGAGGTGGTCTCTCCATTATTGCTTAGGTTGCCAATTGGTGTTATCCCTTTAGATCACTAGAGGTCACTCTGGTGCCTGACCTGTCTTCTAACCTATGATTCCCTCTTCCCCCTATTCTACCCCCACCCACTCAACTTCCTGTTCCCCCATGACCTACTCTCTCTTCCTCTTCTCCCCCTCTCTTCTTCCCAGCTCCCACTCCCTCCCACCCCTTGCCGTGTTCCCCATCCATTCAGAGGATCTTGTCTCAATCCTCTTCTCTTGAGTATTATGCATATATGCATATCTTTTAGGTTCTTTCCTGTTTCCCAGACTCTCTATCAGTGGAAGTGCAGACTGGCACTATCCTGATCCATGTCTAAAATGCATATATGAGTGAGTACATACCATGTTTGTCTTTTTGCGACTGGGTTACCTCACTCAGGATGGCTTCCTCCAGTGCCATCCATTTACCTGCGAATTTCAAGATTCCATTGTTTTTTTCTGCTGAGTAATACTCGATTGTGTAAATCCTTTTCCCTATTCTCTCCAGCATAAACTGTTGTTGGTGTTTTTAACTTTAGCCATTTCTGACAGGTAGAAGATGGCATCTCAGAGTTGTTTTGATTTGCATTTCCCTGTTGGTTGAGGATGTTGTTCAATTTCTAAATGCCTCTCAGTAATATTAGATTCTTCTACTGAGAATTCTTAATTTAGTTCTCTATCCCACCTTTCAGTTGGATTATTTGGTGTTTTGGTGACTAACTTCTTGAGTTCTTTGTATATGTTGGAAATTAGTCCTATACGGGATTGGTGAAAATCTTTTCCCACTATGTGGACTGCTGTTTTGTCTTGTTCACTGTGTCCTTTATCTATTAGAAGGTTCTCAGTTTCAGGAAGTCCCATTTATTAATTGTGGATCACAGTGTCTATGCTACTGGTGTTATGTTCAGGAACTGTTCTTCTGTACCATTTCTTTTAAGGGTACTTCCCACTTTCTCTTCTAAGAAATTCAGTGTGACTGGTTTTATTTTGAAGTCTATGATCCATTCAGAATAAAGCCTTTTGCATCACAATAGACATGTGTCTATCTGCAATCTTTTACATGTAACTATCCAGTTATAGCAGTGTCATTTTTTGAAGATTCTTTCTTTTTTCCATTGTATAGTTTTAGCTTCTTTTTAAAAAATCAGGTGTTTATATTAATGTGGATTAATATCAGGGCCTTCCATTTGATTCTATTTATCTACCTACCTGTCTGCTTTTGTGCTAATACCATGCTGTTTTCACTACTCAAACTCTATAGTAGAGTTTGAATTCAGGAATGGTGATGCCCCCAGAAGTTCCTTTCTTGTACAGCGTTATATTGGCTATCTTGGTTTTTCTGTTTTTCCATATAAAGTTGAGAATTGTTCTTTCAAGGTGTGTGAAGAATTGCGCTGGGATTTTGATGGGGATTGCATTGAATCTGTAGATTGCTTTTGGTAAGATTGACATTTTTACTATGCTGATTCTACCTATGCAAGAGCATGGGAGAGATTTCCATTTTCTGATACCTTCTTTAATATCTTTCTTTAAAAACTCTTAGTTCCTGTCATACAAATCTTTCACTTTTTTGGTTAGAGATAACCCCCAGGATATTTTATGTTGTTTGTAGCTATTGTGAAGGGTTATGTTTCTCTGATTTCTTTCTTAGCCTATTTATCGTCTGTATATTGGAGGGCTACTGATTTTTTGAGTTGATCATGTATCCTTACTGAAGTGTTTGTCAGCTTTAGGAGTTCCTGTGTAGAGTTTTTTTGGGTCAGTTATGTAAACAATCATATCATGTGAAAATTTGACTTCTTCCTTTCTAATTTCTATCACTTGGTCTCCTATTGTAGTCTTATTGCTCTAGCTAGAACTTCAATTACAATATTGAAGATATATATAGAGAGAGTGGACAAGCTTGTTTTATTCCTGATTTTAGAAGAAT